CCCTAACGCCATTTGTAAAACGAGAAACACAACACATAAAAATGCAAATGAGAATGCATGCGCAGAGTAGCTCGTAAAAATGAATTACCCCCTTTCAGTGATACACCTCTGCCAAGAATACACGGTTGACCTCGCACTTTGAAGGAATCTCTCGTCAGTTATTAAATGTTCCCAAGCTATGGCACCGAATGGCACAACAAAAGTCAAACTTTCAGGTCATTTTTGCACATATGTGAGGATATATTATTTTTACGTAAAAAAATGTTCAGTAATATGTTTACGTGAAATGTGATTTGTTTCCCGTTGTATATTGACAGCCACCATGAGATTGAGATTGGTATTTGTTTTCAAATCAAATGATGAACATGTCATTTGGACCTTGTATTAAAAAAGCATTTAGATGTGAGACTCTTTAGGCCAATGCTGTTCAATTACGAGCGGATGACGATGACATCATTTACCTGCTCCACTGGGCCAGGAGATAAGTACATGCCCCCGCTGCTCCCACCAAGCCTCGGGAGTCTCTGATGACTCCAGCAAGAGCGTTTGCGCCGCACATGATGGAGGACGCTGTTCAAGCCCCGCGATCCTGTCACCTGTACAGAAGGCAGCGGGAGGGCCGAGGTGCATGTCGACATTTTGGAGAGCTCTGTCGAGTATAGCTTCATTGAGAGAGGAAATGTAAAACACTGTTATAGGAGGTCTCAAATGTTTTTGTTTTGTTTTGTTTTTTAGTAAAATGTTTTAAATTCTTGTGCAATTGTGCTTTTGTTCTGTCTGCAAAATCTATTCAAATTACAGTAATGTGACATTATTCATGAATCTGGATGTTACTAAAAGAAACACATATTATCCCCCCAATTTTATATATATATTACTTCTGCTAGTCTTTTCTATCATTTCTATTACATTTTCCCCTCTTACTGATGACCACCATGCATTCTTGTCTGATACTGCAAAAAAAATAAAAGACCTTAACACTGACCTTGCCTTGTCTGCGCCATCGAGACAAGAAGCGAGATCCACAGAACACCCCCCCACACCCCCCGACACCCCCCACCCCCAACTATGCTGAAGGGTTGAATTTTGCCTGTCTCATCAGTCTCTCGGCTTCGGCTGGTATACGCCTTGTTATTTCCGAATTCCTACACATTCCCTTTTCAGTTGATCAGCACCCAGATGGGAAAACATTGCTCTTGGCTGAAAGAGACGGCGAGCCACTTGGCATATAGACGCAAGCTGTCAATACAGATTAGCTTTTATCAGATAAACTTTATGTGCAACATTGGAGCGTCCTTTGGTTGGGTAACAGCCTGATTTGGGGTCACGATTGATCGTGTGACTGTGCGGGTGGGTCAAAGCGGGTACAAAATGCTTGTTATTGTGTTTAATATGACAAGATGATGGCCCACTATAATAATGATAAAAGGTAAACAGCAATGCACCTTTTAGAGGTCAATACGAGGGAAGAAGAATTTTGAAAAATAATCTAATTGTAATTTTTTTCCCCTGAATATTGCAATTGCACTTTAATATGTAATTATTTTATATCTTATCTAGTAATTTTAACAAAAACCAGCAATAAATGAATCTGTGTTACAATAAACAATATCAGCCATGCGACCCCTCCGGGTGTGAGCGACTTGGCCACCAGGCGGCAGCATAATACAATTGTTAAAAAAAAAAAAAAAAAACGAAGAAGAGCTTGACTGATCTACTGTATGTGACTCAGTAATCTACAGTAATATTTGTCTTTTTCTCAGAAGATAAAGATCATATGCCCAAGAGTGTTGTTATGCGTTAAAATATCTGTTCCTGAAAGCGTTATAACACCACCACATAGATGCTATGCAATATGATGCTAATGCCGTTTCCCATTATGGATTAGCATTAAGCTAGCTGACTTAAAGACTTAAAGTTATGAGGTTGTTTACACACAACAAATACACAACTTGTAACTCCTTGTCTTATGTTTAGCTGGACACTGAACTTCAAGTGGGAGTGACATTAAACGAGGGGAAGGCTCTTTTTTGGAGAGGAGTTTGGAATGCCAAACTCCTGCTTGATAAATCAAAGGAAAATTCCAGATGAAAGTCACATCTCAAACAACTCCCAAGGCGTGTTGCTTGTATCTCAAGGGACCGCTGTAATTAGATTTTATTTAGATCTTTCCCATACTGTTGTTTGCAAAGGCTCAAAGAAACTATTCAAAATTAAATTTGTAATACAAGGTGTCATCACAATATTTGATAACTCCGTTTTGTAAGCAAAAATGCATTCCATTGTTTTCTGAACGTGGCCCTCAAAAGCAAAAGATTGGACTCCCCTGGTTTCAAGGGCCATTTAGATGCATTTACCACAGAATGGGGAATAGTGCACCTAAGAGAAAAGTGTAGTTGTGTTCCCCTTCAGTAATGCTTTTCTTTTCACCACACGTGGTGGGTGATGCGTGTCATAGTTGCATGCTGTGAAATTTGAAGGGATTCTTTGAATAGAATCAAACATTAAAAGGGCAGCGGGCTGTATTACGTGCAAAGGCGTAAAGCGTAATAGTCACTGTAAAAGGAAAGAGTCAGTCCACTCCTACATAGCAAACAAGCCCAGGCTGAGAGATGAAGAGGGGGAGGCAATGGCAGCAGCAAATGATACAAGCCTTCTACACCTTGTCAGTTATTAGGAGAAGAGAAATCTGACACAACTTTGTGTTGTCTGGAAAAAGCAAAATAATTGGCTAGTATGAGGCAGCAATACCTCCTACAGTACACTACTTTGAAGAGACTGTCATAAAGTTCTGAAGCTAAAAGCAGCTGTGGAAATGAAATACGAATTAGAAAAAATATATATACTGTATTCACAAATTTGTCATGGAGGTGCATATTTTTGAGGTTGAAAAATGCATGAATTTGAATGCGAGATCATTATGGCTGATTGCATTTCTCCACAGCAACTGTAGTGTATTTGTTAGTGGCATATTGTGGAGAAGTACAAACCGTAAAAAGATGCAACTAAAACATAACTTCCATCTTATTTCACAGCAATAGAATGGTTTTTGCCTTTGACGAATTACTTTCTGCAGAGAAATGTCGAACGTTCCAATCTTACATGATAGAACCATCTGTTAAGAAATAAAAATATGCTCGTAGTTGGACCTCTCAGTACACTTCAGGGCCGCCTTACAATCGTGAGCCGACAGGCATTATGAGATGGTTACGCCGGTCAAGGACTACATTTTTTTTAATCAGAGATGAATCTAAACTTTTCACAACAACAATAATAACGATAACAACAACACCAACATTGGTAGCTCCATGCTACAAATACGAACGTATTTGTATGTTCGAACCTACTTGCTTGAACGTACTTGTGAGTACATTTGAACATATTTAAAACATGCTTGAATGTAATATTTTTATTCCACATTTACAGCTCCACGCTCCCATGAGTAAGTCAACAATGTTAGTCATTTTATTTTAAGGTTTTGGCCTTATATTTAAAAGTGTTCCTGAGTCCCTCACTGACTAAAAAAAGTCTTGCCTCAGCTAAAGGAAATCAAGCAAAGTATGATGCTGTTACCACCATAATTAACCGTGGGCAATATAATCTTCAGATGTTGTTTATGCACCAAGCATCCCTTTTTTTTTTCTTCAAAATATAACCAGGCCTCAAACGTGTTCATTTTCAATAGCTGCTGTATTTGTTCATTTTGCAACCATTTTTCAGAAAACAAACGACCTTAAATTTGAGTTATTGCGCTATGATTACCTTTCAAAGATGTGTTTGGAGTAGGTAGTTGTCAACTGTGATTAAGTGTGAAAAAAGGCCTGACTGGGATTAATGCTTTTATGCTTAGTTAGTATGCTTACTCAGGGGAGATGTAGTTGCTGAATAATTCATCATCGTGTTGTAGAATAAAAACACCACGTCCGAATGTATAAGGTGCAGCACAACAAGGTCTCCGGGAAAAGAGGTTTTGACACAAAAGTGACAAAACAAAGAATTCGGATTTGTGCATAATTTTATTTGGAGACACACACTACTCGATGCAATGTTGTTTTTTAAAATAATAATAATAAATCTACCGACTGCTAGGTCAGCTACATTCATCTGCATCAACAAAAACGATGGATGAACATCCTGAATACTCTGCAGCAAATTACGACGATGTTAATCATTCCTGGCAGTTTGTTCAAACGTATTCGTGAACCGCAATTGTACACGCTGCGACTACAAAAGACTGGAAAAGTTAAATAAGCCCAAAAAAATCATTTCAGCTTTTTTAAATAAACGGTAATAATGAAGTTAAAATATAATAAATCCTAATCATGAGATATTTGAGGATCTATTGATTGAAGGCCGAGCCTTCAAAGCTGCATTCAGCTTTCAACGTAGAACTTGAATGTAGAGTGCCATCATGTGCCCAAATCTGTCCATTGCAAGACACTTAACTTTGGAATTAACTGTTGGTCCTTTTCAGGGGAAGCTCATAAAAAGCAAAGCAACATGTAGGGAATTCACGAAATACCCGCAGCATATTTACAGTCCACTTCTCAAAAATTCACTTTGACGTTTTTTTTTTCCCCTCCGTGAATCCAATTCCCAACGTTGATCTGAAAAATAAAGTCCCTAGTAGTAGTTTTGTAATCTTTCTGAAACGTCCCAAGTTGCTACAAGATGTCACCAAACATAAACACTAACTGGTATCAAAGATAGAATTCGAAGTGACATATATCAAGCGAGAAACAATATTTCCATATTGTGTTGAAGCGACAGAGTTTTCGCTGTACTGTATGCACGTGCACACTTTATTAAAAAGGAAAATCACGATATTATTGACATTAAACTGTTTTGGAACTATGGTTTGTGGTCTATTCATAGTTTAAACTTTTAATATAAGTACTTTTATTGTTCTTTCCCCATTTTCGGTCAGTCTATTTCGTTTCCCTCCGGCAACATGCAAGGCAGTCTTGGTACTGCAGTGGTGCAGTTTGGGGTTTTTTTTTTCTCACCAGAAATTCGTTCATGGACAGATACTTTGTGGACGGTGGGAGATGAGATTGGGGGGGCTGGATTGGGATTGTTAACGTCAATAAATATTCCCACCCAGGTGTTTACATTGCATTGGGTCTCGTACATGCTAAAAGTCTGTTTACATGTGTAATGTTAGCTTCGTGTCAACCAGGCTTCAGAGACGTTGAGGCAGGGTGAGAGAAAGGAGCCCGAAGGTGACCGGAAGAAAGGGTGAGAAGAAGTTAGTCTGACCAATGTTGTCGACACAACCGGACGACGAGGCATCATCCTTCCGAAGAGTGCTTGTCTTCTTTACCTGGATAGTGGTGCTTTCTGTTGCAAAGAAGTAGTTAGTTACCTTCACTGGTCTTTTTGTCATGACTCGAGTTGTTCCTGTGAACGAGAAACCAGGTGGGGTTTTGTTAGCAACACTATGGAAATGGACGTGCGGTCTACGATCTGCAGAAACTGAAGCCTTCGCGGAGTCCTGGGGGGACACTCGTGTGCTCTCCACCACCAGAGGAATACTGAGGGAGGTTAAGTTCCATCGTCCTGTCTTTAACCCGCCGCAGATCGGTTGAGGGCGACAGGGGCAGCCCAAGACGAGAGCGGGGGTACGTTGCACCCAGGATAGGAGGTAGGTCACGTCAGCCCCCAGGTGGCAGGCCCAAGGGTTGTTGCCCAGCGTGAGAACCCGAAGCGACGTCATCTTATCAAACACCCCGAAGGGGAACTCGGAAAGGCGGTTGGCGTGGAGGTAGAAGAAGGATAAATTGGGAAGTCGGTCCAGCGATCCCGGCAGTACTTGCACAAGTGAATTGTGGGAGATGTCGATGATCTCCAGGCGTGCGGGCATGTTGGTCGGAAAAGTCCAGAGGTGATTGTAGCTCAAATTGAGTGTACACAAATTGATCAGCGTATTGTTAATGAAAACGGTCCTCTCTAGCTTGTTGTCGGAGAGGTCAAGCACCCTCAAGTTCCACTGGTGGACCGTATCGTTCTTGTCCAAAAGGAGGATTCGGTTGGAGGCGGCGCGGAGTTGCCAAAGGGAACGAGGCAAGCGCTCAGGCAGGCGGCTCAGGCGGTTGTGCGAAATATCGAGGACGCGCAGGTGCGTGTAGGGGGCGAGCGCGCCGTCCAGGTTCTGAAGTCGGTTGTGGGACAAGTCGAGGGAGCGCAGGTCGCGCCGGAGGCCGTCGGGCAGTTCTCGCAGGGCCCTCCGTGAGCAGTCCACGTCCCTGTGGCTGCGGCCGCAGGAGCAGGCGGCGGGGCACGCGGCCAGGGCTCGTAACCCAAGCAACAAGACAAGCAGGAGCTCCAGAGGGGCCTCATTAGGGGACAGATTCTGCAGTGCACGCCTGCTTGGAGAAAGAGAGGGAGAGCGGCGTATTATGGTTTGTCTTACGCAGCATCTTCACCTCAGGAGAGGATGCTGTGTAAGTAAGATTGATGCTTGCAGTGTGGACTGCGAATATGGATAATTTATATACTGTACATCGACTCCCTGGTAGCAAACTACGGGTTGGAGGCCACTGCTCTGAACAGCACTGGAGCTGCCCCTCTCTCACGCTGGGGTTGTTTGCACACACACATTCTTGCAGCCCACAGCATTGTTTGCCGGTAAATACCATCACGTTGTATGTCAATTTAATGCCGGAGGAAATTCTCCTGTCAGGTTACATCGCATTCTAAATCCATTCAGGTTCAATTATTTCTTTTGGTACAGAACTGTATTGCTCTTTTCTATTTTAACCCTTTTCAGGGACAGCGGCGACGACATCGGAAGGCTGATCATGATATCAGGTTACAGGGGGCATGAAAGGGTTAAAGAATGCTACTGATGAGAAAAATGAGATTTGTACATCAAATCTTTCAGAAAACTATTTCCTGTATTTAAGAGCAATGTTCATGTTCAAAGTGTCATACTGTGCATAATGTTAGAGTGGCCTACAATAATACATATCAGGAGGTAGCTGGAGAACTTTTTTTCTTTTGAGGCGTTTGACAACCATTGAAATAAACAATCGCATTTAAATGAATTGAATGGCGCAGCATCAAATGCTTTTTAAAAATCGTAATCAAAGTGCATTTCGAGTTTCCAGCCTGTGTAGAATTAGACACAAAGGATTTCGCTGTTCAACCTGTCAATCTGAGATATACACAAATGACGACATTGAATTTTAAAAAAACTGACATATCAGCTGACTTTCAGGCAAAACATAACTTCTGTTATGCGAACTCAATATGCTTTTTTTTTGGGGGGGGGGGGAGGTAGAACCAACAACGGTGTGGA